TCAACCTTTCTCTGCTTTATTAGGCAATTTTTCGTGAGGATAATCAAGCATAATCGATTATGCTAGATTATGAGAGGTGTCAATAATTGTGTCATACTTCCCTAACTCCCCCACCATCAAATTTTGGGATACTCGAAGATCAAGAGCACTTAATTTCTTCTGTGAGAACATACCGAAAATCATCTTTTCTACATTTAAAATCGACGAAAAAATTAACTCACTACCACAGCCTGAATTGCAAGCATCCCATAGAGGTCTGCGGGTGACGTCATCACGATAAGCTACTGATAGTGACGTCACTCGCAGGCCCAAAATTGGATGTTGAGGGAGTATGACACAATGGGACACTTTCACGTGTCAGGAATATGGCAAATTATGATATTTTTTGACGCAGATACATCAATGCAACATGCAATCGGGAATGAACGATATTTTGCAAGCTCGATTATTGAATAAATCAATAAATAAAAATTTAAAATTTAAACGAAAAATCACGTGATTGAAAACGCTCTCTGATTGGCTAAAGCCGATTTTGATGTACTTGTTGCCATATGTAGAAATGCGAAATTTAAATGAGTTTATAACAATTATACCTATCCATTATTTTTTTTATAATGTAGTAACGGACAAAAATAGTTTCTAGCTAGTGAAATGTGTAATGATTTACTAATGAGAAATTTGGCACCCTCGCATTTTTGTTGATTTTCTGGTTTGTGACGTCACAAACCAGTTTCGCGTTGTCGCGCCAGTTTAAAAATTCCATTTTTTTTTTTCAAAAAGAAGGTTTTTTTTTCGGAAAAAAAAGTATATGTGAAAGTAGCCCATTGACACATCACATAACCCAGCATAATCAGATTATGCTTGATTATCCTCGCGAAAAATTGCATATTGTATAACCATTCTGAGAGCAGAATATGATTATACATATTATGTTTCCTAGGTGAAAAAGCTATTCTGTTCTCGAGACGCTGAGATATTTGGTTAATTATTAGCACGTGTCATGTCATAAGGGGGACTATTTATACCGGGGTGGTAAAAAGTACCGGAACGGTTGAATTTCTTTCAAACCCGTTTAAAAAACCTGCATTCTCAAATTTTGTTATCTGGAGGTTTCCGGACATACAAACTTTAATGGTTCAATGATACCGGCGCTGCTGCCAGATTTACCAGCTTTGCCCTATATCATTGTCCAATTTCGTTTGCCCAGAAACCTCCAACGAAATTTGGGAAAGCAGCATTAGTGGGTTTGAAGAGATTCAACCGTTCCGGTTTCTTTTACCACCCCTGTATAAGTAGCCCCCTAATGACATGGTATGTGCTAATAATTCACCAAATATCTCAGTGTCTCGAGAACACTGAGAACAGAATAGCTTTTCCACCTAAGAAACATAATGTAATTATATTTTATTCTCAGCATGGTTATACAATAACGCAGAGAAAGGTAGGTGCCACATCAATTGACTGAGAAAACTGTGCCCCCTAGTCGCAGTACATGTTACGTGTTACGACGCGTACTATCTGTAGTTACTCTGAGACGTAATTATCTTTACGGAGCACCCAATAATTAGTATTAAAAACTTCCTTTTTTTTTCACCCTGTATAAAATCTTCTTGAAACAAAAAAAAGACGAAAACGTTGAACCAACAATAATAAGAAAATTGTTTTGAGTAACTGAGACAAAGAATCATGGTGATGAAAGTCGTTTTTCAGTTAAACTGAAATTTCTGCAAAACTACGAGGTTTATTCAAAAACCCTTGAAGTTGTTTTTTACCATTGAACAACTGATTCTTCTTAAACCCAGAAAAAAGCAGAAGTATGTATGAAAAGAAATGGCGACGCCCTGAAATTTGTTAAAATTTGCACCGTTTTATTGTCCACCCTGTATGTTGTAGATAATGTCTCTGTTCATCAGCATGATATCATATACCTTGAACACCAAACAATGCGCCCCAATATGCTTCAAACCGCAATCAAATATCTCGTATACTTTCTGAGATATTTGACTTCGAAAATAGGCAAAAAATAGTTATTTTCCTAACAAGTGCGCAAAGTGATACTTTCCCGCACGAAAAAGCAGTTAGACGAACGACGCGAAGCGGAGTTCGGATAAGCTTTGAGTGCGGGAAAGGCACTTTGCGCAAGTGTTAAGAACATTATTTTTTCTACAAGTATCTTAAAAAAGTAGACTTTGAATTGTTAAAATATTAGAAAAATCAATCAAATCAAAATCTTCAAAAATCGTTTAAAATCTATTGGAATTCATCAGAATGTCTTTTAAATTAAATCCCTAAATATCTTATCTTCTGGAATTTCTAGAATCAGCAAGAATATTTTCATGAGAGTCTTTTCAATATCAAATTTTTTACAAATTTCTAGCAGTACAGGCTGGTCCAATTTGGACATCTTTGATAGGAAACGTCATGTTAACTAAGCGTTAATTTCAACTGAAACCCTTCATTTCGAATATTAGTTTATTCAGAAACCATCAAAACATTGAAAAATCAAGTATAACTATGGTAATTATGCGTAACAAAAATGAGTGCGCAAAGAGTTTCCGTGCGCAAAGTTCAACTTTGCGCACGCAAATGAGTGTGCAAAGTGATTACTTTGCGCACGCAAGTAGAAAAAAATATTTTCAGTTATCTGAAGTTATTAAAACTGAATATGATGTGTCGTAAAAAAAAGTCCGACTGTTTAGTTATTAAGAATTTTGTATAATTATCCATACGTTTTTTTGTACATACCTATATCATATAGAAAAATATTTTGCGTTATATTTTTGCTAAGGGCAATTATTTGTTTGGAGTCATGAAGATATATATTTTTTAAAATTATTATGTTAGAAAAACTCTCAGGAAAACCTTTCTTGTCTTTAGTTTGTTATATTATTCATGAAAGATTGTTTTGTTTTTAATTTTATACAATATTTAAGTACCTAAACCAACCAAAACTATTTTGTGATATTTTTTGCAAAAGTTTGTGTTAGAATATATTTTATTTTGTTTTCAACATTTACCATTTTCGTTTATAGTTGTTGAGTTCCTTTTGTTTCCAAAGAGATATTAATTAAGTATGTAAGTTTATTATGTTTTTTGAATAAAGCAAGCATCACATGATATATGTTTGTTTGCGTTTTATTATATACTCCTGGACAAAATTATCTCACCACCACTGCACATAAGCACCATAAGCAGTGGTGCGATAATTTTGTCCAGGAGTATAGATCTTGAGGTCATAAAACTATAATACGAATAGTTTGCTGGGAATTTTGAACGGATTTCGGGGAATTTTGGAGGAATTTCAGGGAATTTCGGGAAATTTTGGAGACTACAGGGGAATTTAGTGAAATTTCAGGGAATTTCCAAAGTTAGTAGGTATTTTGGGGAATTTCGAATACTTTAGGGGAATTTCGGGGATTTTTTTCCGGAAGGGGAATTTTGGTGTACAATTTTTTGTAGTGATTTCCTCCTCGCCCCCCCCTAAACCAAAATCCTGGATACGCCAATGTATGATTCTCAGATATTTCGGTTGTATGCTTACTCATTTTCAGGAATTTCTGGTGAATTTATTGTGTGGTTTCTCATTTTTAAAAATGTTTATTGAGTTGGTTGTCATTCTTGAGAATCTGTCTTGTAGTTTTTCATTCTAGAAAATCGTTTCATCTGCAAGCTGTTTCCCATTCGCGAAACTATTGATCTCTTTTTTATTTATCTTTTGATGCGCTTACTACTTCAAGGTCGGGTTTATTCAACTTCTGATAAACTATTAAATAATGTAGTCTGACGGATAAAATTGGCCAGTTATCCGCCGACGAATAGAATTATAATAATATGAGGTTCAAAATAATGAATAGCTTTGAAGTGAACAAACCCAACTGAAAAACAACACATACTTAATACAAAAATGAAGAAGACGAAAAAGATCTTATTTTATATTTAAGTTATTGTTTGCTTTTTTCATGAAATTATTTTAGGTTTTCGACTACAAATGTTCATAACAACGATGGCATTTATTGAAGTCATTTTTTTTTTTTTGTAAAACGTTGTTTGCTTTTCGCTATTTTTAATAAAACTATCAAAAATATGTGGTACCTATATATGGGTGAACACTTTATGTAATTTTTCACTTCCTATTAGATGTATTTATATTGACAATTTCTCAAAAAATCGATAATTTTTAAGATAGTTATGTACAAAAATATCAACAAAATCATAAAGAACAAAATGGCGGCAATTTTAGTATGTCATCAATGACCATAAAACAATACATTTTCGTTGAAAAACCCATGTCTTTGATTTGTTCCACCCAACTGCCAATTTGACCACACTATTACTAGGGATTCTGGAAAACAGTAGTATAGTCCAATTACAAGGGATCTTACATTGTAGTAAAATGAGAATGTCCTCCAAACGATCCATAAGGAATCGAAGGTCTACCGAAAATGTAAAGAATTCAAAGGTAGGTGGGAGTTGCTAAGGAAGATCTTTTGGAATTCAATACAGCCCAATTGATTTTGAAAATCAGATGAAAAAGAACTGGAAATAAATAAACCGGTTTTGGAGACCTTAACTCAGAAAACAATGAAATCGTTAGTTGTTGATGTCATACTACGCTAATAATTAGGGGTTCACAAATAAGCCATCTTGTCGAGGTTTGAGTTTTACCTCTTTCTGTATCCAAATATATCCGATATTTTATATTTTTTCGAATTTTATCGCCGCTTTTTTTACCTAGAGGACTTAATTCAAGAGGACCTACTTGATGATGTGGATTGCAAAAAAATATAGTAAAAACACCTATTAATCATTTTTTTATCCATTGTCGTACTACTTGCACTATGCATCTTAAATCCTTTTAAGCTCTTACAAAGATTGATTAAAATGTTATTGTTATTATCCAATCTTAAAAAAACATAACGAAAACAAAAGGATTAAAATAATTACTTAATAATTATAAAGATATGTATATAAATATATTAGACGATTTGGTTACTTACTCAAAAAGTCGATCATGAAGCTAGTGATTTTGTGCTTAGTGAGTTTATTCTCAATAGCTTGGGGAGAGCGCCCCATAAACGATCTAGTTGAGAATAATACACAATTCAAACATCTAAATGTTAAGCTAACAGATATCGTAAATGAAGACAATCTAGAAAGTTTTTTGGAAGCCCTTAAGAAATTTGTGCAAGATGGAGAGTAAATATCTAATACCTATCTTCTATTTATAGTTTAGATCTATAAGTACATTATTTATTCATTAGATCTTAGCCATTTATAGAAAGATACCTTATAAATACGTGATAGTAAGAAATGATTAATTTTCACTGTTAAAATAAGAGTACACAGTTTTTCAATTTGCACCGTTTTGGTTCTAGCTTCTTCCAATTGTGGTTTTGTTTTCCGGCTTTACAGTACCGACTATCGTCCTAAGCTGCTGCAGTTTTAGTTTACATCGATGGCTTGTTTCTAAGTTTTTATAATTTACTTCTAATTATTTTACCCTTAGAGCAGGTAATTTCCCATGTGGTAGGAACATGAAGTTGAAGCCGTTTTTTTCCAGTTATTTTGAGATCCAAAATAATGGCGGTATAGCTAATTCGATGCTTTATCTGTGATTTGGTGTGAAAACACCTGCTAGAAACTGGCTTCACTTTAGTTTCATATCAGATTGGCGCGTTCCTACTCCTGATGTCCATAGGACAGCACTTTACCTGCTCTAAGATTTTACCTAAAATTATTTTAAATTTGTTATAAAACCAATAGGGCGAATAATTTCTCTATTTTTACAATATTAATCCATAAAATATTGGATACAATGATAGAAAAGTTACCCGAGTTTTAACTAAGTAGATATCAACTAGGTATTTTTTAATCTGTGTTTATATTTATTTATGAGATACCTACTGTTTTCTAGCGTCAGCGGCATCTTCAATTTAAAGATGAACCCGACAATCGATGAGGCAATAGACAAGTTAAGAGCCTACTTTATCAGTTGTGGATTTGATCCTCTTGAATTAGATGATCAAAAATTACAAGTAAGTTTTCATGGCTTTATAGATTTTATCTTACTCTGCAGTCCATGCGTTATACAAGAGGTTTCAGAAAATGGTCCGAAATGGGATAATATGGCACTTCCGGTCAAACCGGACAATTATTTATTTTTATGCTGAAATTCTGCATCGATATCAATAACATCCCCAAAATTTCAAATCTATATCGATTTCCATGCTTATAGCTTGATAAGTGATCTCATGGTTACCCGGTATAGTTCTTCCATATAAATACTGATGAAAACCCTCACAACCATAGACAATAGGCAAGAGCTTTTTCTCAATTTCAGCCCACATTTGTTCATTATCTGTGAGATTCTTAGAGTCATATGCTACTGGAAGATTATCTTGCAAAATTATTACTATCCAGTGAACACAACAATCAAAATACTTTAAAACAGGGGGCTTCAATATCATTTGAATTACCTTCAAAAAATCAGTTATTATTTAAATCAGCTCATACAAAATCGATGTATTTTTTAAGTAAAACCCTTAAAGAATTTAGTCATGGAAACATTGTTGGCAAAAACTCACTGATCTAAGTTGTCATACCTAGGATTGTCTGTAGCTCTTTCCTATTTTTTGGCATTTCCAGTCCTTCTGATGTCAATACACATTTCCCAAATATTTACACCTTTACACCAGGTAAGCCTCCAAAAATATCTGATAAGATAAAGTACGTTGAAAAACTCCGGGAGCCGAGCAAACATCAAAAGGCATTCTTTTATAACATCTCCATTAAATATATTATATAGTGAATCTTTATGTAGCATTATTTGATAAAATCCTTCATTCGTATCTAAAATGGAAAAAATTGTAGGCTTGCCTATTTTTGAAACAAGCTTCTCAAATGTAGATAATCGATATCGTTCTCTTATGACATCTATTTCTTGGTGCCTCCGTCACTTGTTCAACAACTGGCTTTAATTTTATTTTATAACTTATATATTTTATTCGTACAATTTTTGAAGTTGGTATTTGAATTTTGAAAATGTTGTTCTAGTTGCTTGGGATAATTGGCAGCATTAAACTGACATCTGGATGGCTTCAAGACATATCTACCATTAGTAGAAATGACGACGTGATTGTTAGTTACAACAGCGCTACCAAAAAAGTGGCATTCACTTTACCGTTGAAATTCAATGTTTTATTGGTAAGTTAACGGGCTGTGAAAATCATAACTGAAAATAGTTTGTTTTTTTTTTGTTGTAAATGCAAGTCTTGTACGTGATGATAACATCATGCTTATTTTTAGTTCACCTACAAATATGTCACTAGAGTAACTTTACTTAAAATCAAAGGCGATGTGCTAGGAAAAATCCAAGATGTGGTAATGAACTTAAATCTCATATTCGATGGCAGTACTGGAAAATTTGTTTTGAAAAGTGTTAGTATGAAAGACTCTGGGTAAGTTAATTTCAATATTGTATCGATATGAATTTCTGAAGGCAATATTTTTTTGAAGGAAAATTACCGTTAAATTTAGTGGACACAGTTTAGTGGATTGGATTACTAACGCAATGACCAGCGTCATCACTGAAGTCCTCCATCCTCTGCTCATATCGATGTTACAATCTGGAGCCATGTCTGTGGGCAATGATATTACCGATGCCGTCAATGAATATATAAAAAATCACTTTTGAAAGTTTTATATAATATTGACTCATAAATATTGAAGCAAACAGTTTAGTATTGTTTTTTTTTAATGATTTAGAATTTTTGTAAGTACAGTAGAACTCCGATTATCCGAGCCAGTCTAAAGACACAAAAATCCTAATTATCCGAGGTACGCACATCCGTACTCCGTATTAGCCAAGTTTCTAGAATATACATACATATACATAGATTCGGATTATCTGAGTTTTTATTTATCCGAGAAAGGTACCCCCCAACGTTACCTCGGATAAGCAGGGTTCTACTGTATTTTGTTTTTAATCACCTCACCAGATGCCAGATGGCATGAAACCTGCGACTAAGATTACATATTTTACAAAAAATGGCTGTAGAAAATTCGAAAAGAGAAACTCGTATTGCAATAGTGTTCCTACCACACTACTATCGTACACAGGACTTTCATTACAAAACTTGCCACCCAAGTTATCTGATGCGCAAAGAGATAGATTTGTGAGAAACACCGAAACACGTCAACACATTCATTGAGAGCAAATGTTTTTTACGCAAAACTGGAATTCGCTCCTTTGTAAATCTGTCTCTTTACGCAGATAACGTAGGTGGCAAGTTTTGAAATGAAAGCTCTATTGTGCATTCAATTGTAGAGTGTCATCAGGCAAATAACTAATCTGCCAGAATCTTTGGAAATAAATTCCTAGTCCTACTTGGTAGGTATTTGTTGCCTTGCGTAAAGATGATGTAGACCTGTAATTGTTACGCTGAGGAAAAATGTGCTTCTAAAGCTAGTATTAGAATTTCCTTTGCAGATTCTGTATGCATGCCGTCAGGTCCTCCATTTGATTATGTTTACATGATTCGTTCACTTTTTAGTAAATTTTCGAATGTCATCCAAGAATTCTTTCTTGATCTTATGTATTTTGTTAGAGCTCGTCTGTAGAAATAACATTTGCTGTTGTTTTCAGAAATCTTTCTGTCCATGTCCCTCAGCTGTTTCAGCTAGTTGGCCCGCCAGATTATACTTAGTTCCAGGTTTTTCCACTGCTAGATCTAAAACGCCCACGTACTTGATGATTACCGAAAATCCCCGTAGACCCTCATGAAGGAAAATACTGCATCTTTCTAAACTAGTTTTTTTGAATATCTGTTGTGAACAATATTTCATCTTGAGCGAGAGTGTTTATATTGTCAACTTCTCAAGTAAATACCACTCTGTACATCAATTTTACTAAAGTGTTTCGACGAGTCAGCATTAATTTGGTATAAATACTACGCCGAACTCCATTACCAAGAGACTAAGCACTAGCCCAAAATACCTCAAATGGGAAAAGCCCCTCTAGCTAAGTCTCCTCCCAGTGCAAACTACCTTTGATGGGAAATGCCTTTCTGGGAGTATTGAACGCAGCAAACTAGGTCCAGTGCAAACATTCCTTTAATGGGAAACGCCCTTCTGGACGTGTCTCAAACCCAGCTTCAGTCTTCAGTCACGCCAAGTGTACAGAGTGTACATAATACAGAGTGGCCTATAAGTAGTACGTCTTTCCGTAGAAGAGGCATCATGATACTATTTCTAGGGTAATATTTCTATTATTCAATACATACCTTATTGTACCTATACCAAGCGAGTTTCTCTCTACATGAACCCAAACTACGCCCCCAGGTCACGCTCCTGTTGTGACGTCCCAGGACGAAACGTATAGGGGATAGGGGTTATGACAATATTGAACATAGGTGCCGCATGAAGGATCTATCGACACATTAGGTTTTTTTTCACATTGTTTATCCTGTTTGTACATATTGTACAAACAAGAAATTGTAGGTTTTAAGTCCAGTGATGTTGCTTTTTAATCTGTCGATGATCCAGCAGATTATATGGTAGGTAGCAGCACTTGCCACTTGGCCTGGACATTCCATTTAAGATGCCTCAAAGTTATCGGAAGACGAAGTCGACTTGGGAATAAACTTCATTACTCCCCGTAGCAATGGAAAAAACGGCCACCATATTTCGAGCCGATCTGCTAGCTATAAATACCTGTACGCCGTGAAAGAGATCTCCGGGTGTCCCAGGGAAAACAGTCCACCCCAATTTATTGGATTTAGAATGAGAATCTGGAAAAACGTCGATGTTTGATTTGAGGGGGAACTATTTTTCAGTTTTATTCATCCCCGTAGCTTCAACCCCCTAGCTAGGGGGAGAACAACCCCCCAAATTTGAGTAGGGCATAGGGGTCGTGTCAAAAGGGGCGTTTGAATAAAATGTCATTTACAGACCTTCACAAATTTCTGTTCAATTCCAAATTTAGACCACTTCTCAGTGAAATGAAGTTATGTTCATAACAATAATAGATTGGAGTATGGTTCGAAGCATTTTTGGCTGCAAAATAGGCATTCTAAATAGTAAAATTATTACGAATTTTGTTGACAATAATATGCAAATTTTGGTCACGGATTTAAATGAATAAGGGATAAACACATAGAGTAGCACACCAACAATAAATTTCCAAAATTTCGGATAGTAAAATGCTGGAAAAAAATGAATAGAACAGAATTTTCGAAAATTATAATGTTTGTATCACAAAATTAATCAAAATCTGCCAAACAACGAGGTGATTGCTGTCATTTTCAGCAAAAACTCAAACCAAACGTGTGTTCGGCGCTTCGCTGAGTTCGGGAAGGGTAGTCACTTCTTTTAAACGTCAGTAAAAACTGTTTTACCTAGCTAAAAATGTGAAATACTATTATTTCATTTGTATCTGAATAAAATTATTTAGTCCACTATAAATTACTGTGTAAACGAATTGATATTGAAGATGTCGCCATCTACTTATAAATAAGTCAATCACTTACAAAGAATTTGAACACCTGTGATTAAAAAATATTTAATGTATGTCATAAAGCCCAAAAGATGGCGCGCTGGCTCTTATCTGACGCCCCTCCTAATAAAAATACCTACAATTTACAATTCTCGTGTACACCTGATTAATAATAATAATTAAAAACCTCAATTTCAAGTATTTTTATTGAGGGAGGTAAGTATCGCTTTTACTTCCACTAAAACAATAGTCTATTTCCAAGATTTTGACAAATAATGAGACGAAATTCTAGGACCATACAGAACTCGATAAGACCTTTGAAAAGAGACATGGCACGACTCCTATCCCCTATCCAAATTTGGGAGGCTGTTCTTCCCCCTGGCTAGGGGGTTGAAGCTACGAGGATGAAAAAAACTGAGAAAGAAAGTTCCCCCTCAAATCAAAAATCGACTTGTTCGAGCGTTTGTCCAGATTCTCATCCCAAATCCAATAAATCGGGGTGGACTGTTTTCCCTGGGACACCCTATATTGTCGGATAGCCAACCGGCACTATCCAGGGCACATAGGAGGACCTATGACGCGGATACCCAAGCTACTGTCTAAACAATGGAACAGGCTACACATGTAGGGGTACAAGCAAAACACATGTCCAAGGAATCCAAACGGAAGAAAAAATCAACCAAGAACAAGCAACCACTAAGCCAAGACCTCTAGCAGAAGAAGTCTGCACACTAGAAGAGAAACTGTGCTCAAAATGTAAGACAGAACTAAACGGGACCATAGAAATGAGTACTCATACGGACTTCCAAGACTATGCCCGGGGAGATCAATAGGCTACTAGAAACGGAGGCGGACTTCGAAGGCCTAGCAAAATTCATAGACAAAACATGGAAGGAAGACGCCTTTAAAGTCACTAAAATTGAAACGGGCAACCCAACGAATTACCCTATGGACTGGGACGTGATAATTATGGCGAACCCCACAAATAACTGCGAGACCGGCCTCATGAAACAGGTCAATACGTCCTTCCCAGAGCTCACCAATCTAATATCGGAAGACTCACAGGACATAGAGTTCATCGTTCGCTCAAAAGCTCAAGGCAGGGGGCGGCTCGAGAAAGGTACTTCGCAGTTCCACAGGATGTTATAGATCCAGCGGTAGTCTTCAAGAAACTTGACCTACTCAAACAAAAATCCAATAGCCTTGGGCGGAGGAAACTTGCATTTGCCATCGCGGATGATACGAGTATCCAGTACGTCAGAAAAATGCTTGAACTCCTATTTAGACACGAGAAGAACACAGACCGGACCCTGAAGATACTTGTTCCAAAGCCCCCTCGACACGAGACAAACGAAAATCCGAGCAGACCGAAGAAGCAGTTTGAAACGGTCATTGTGAGAACGGAGGGGAAAAGCTATTGTGACATCCTAACGAACGTCAAATCTCGGTGGACATAGACAAGCTAGGCATCAAGATATCCTCCCTAAGAAAGACCGGGGACGACTCCCTATGTCTTAAAGTAGACGGGAGTAAACAGGACGCAAACTCGCTGAAAAACGAGATCCAGAAAAAATATTACTGGCACTCAAGTTAAGGTCAAATCTAGAGAGCAAATTTTCTTCATACTAGACATAGACGGAGATACTACCAGCGAGGAAGTAGTAGAGACTATTGCTAGGGTAACCGGCATTGATCGAAAAAATCTGGAAGTTAGAGCGATGCACATCTGCAAAAGCGGAAATCAATCTTTCACTGTCGCCGTGCAACAAGGCTTCGGCGGTAAACTCTAACCGCTGTATGCAACATCCTCCTTTAACTTAAAAGCGCTTTTTAAAACTGGTCACTTTTAAAAATGAGTATTCTAAACCATACAAATTTTCACAGGTACCAGTTTTAAAAAGCGCTTTCAAGTTAAAAGAGGATGTTGTATAAAGCTGCTAGAGTTTAGCAAGATTAAAATAGGATGGTTCACCTGTAGAGTAAAACTCAAGGTCCAACTAACACGCTGCTATAAATGCTAAAAGGGCTCAGATAGATCCAAGAACTGCATCAACTGCGGCAGCACAGAACACCAGGGTAAGCTATGCTCCCAGGAACCACGATGCCTAAGCTGTAATAAAAAATGGCACAGAATGGACAACACAGGGTGTCCCAAGTTCCGATAACTAATCGAACATAGGAAAAAGCTGGTGGAGACCTGCAAGCTAAATGGACAGTAGTGTTTACATTCCCAGAAACCACAGGA